CACTTCGGCGACGAGACGCTCGGGTGTTCGGCGTGGCTCGAGAAGAAGGGCCCGACGCTGAAGCCGCACCACCGATGCAAGGTCGTCGGCCAGATCGTGTACTCGCACGCGTGCGCCAAGAAGTTCACCAAGGGCGCGCCGTCGACGAACCACCTCATTCAGTGCCCCGAGTGCCCGCCGAAGCCGATGCTGCGGTACTTCTGGAAGTACCGGTGCATGCGGGCGCACTGGGAGGCCTCGCATCCTTCGATCACGATGCCCGCGTTGCTCGTGGCCGACCTTAAGATCACGGACGCCGAGCGCGACGATCTCCTGAACTTCAAGACGCCCACTACCAAGTCGAAGGCCAAGAAGCGCCGCAGGAACGACGCTGCTGCGGCGCCAGAGAAGGCGGCCAACGTGCGGTGCCAGACGGCAGCGGCCGACGCCTGGGCCGCAAACCGGCGCTGAACCGACCGAGCCAGGTGGCAGCGGCCGGCGCCTGCCAGTGGGCCACCAGCCGGCGCTGAACCAACCGTCGAGGTGGCGGCGGCCGGCGCCTGAGCCGCCAGACGGCGCTAACCACCGGGACGGTTCCATCGTAAAAATTTCAATTTTTCGACAACACAGAAACCTGGGTCGGGAGCCGAAAATCTAGGTTAGTTAGTGTCATGTTGCGGCCCACTGTTTTTTCGCTACCCCCTTGGTTGATCGTTTAAATTTTGACATTGCCTTAAACGTCCAAGAAGAACAAGCTCAACGCCGTCGCTTGCCAGTGCGCTTCCCGAGTTGCTCGTCGCAGCACGATTCGTCGTCTCGGGCGAGCGGCTGACTCCGACGACGACGATATGCCGGCCCTTTCCGACTTCGACGTCGACGGCGTGCGCATCGACGGAGACGCTTTTCACGTCTCGGCGCACGTCATGGCAAAATTTGGCATCGGCGTCGAGGTTTGCGACGACGAGACGCGCGCCAACATGCTCTTTACGGCGGCGCAGCTCTGCATCCTCGCCGCCCATACCGTGGCCGACCCTCGACGGCACACGACGTCCCTGTTGCTTCCTTAAAATACAGCCAACACGAACAACCACTAGGAATCCTAGTCAGTGCTAGTCAGGGAGGGCACCGGTTCGGACAACCATGCCTTTATCGAAGTGGCACCACTATTGAGCGGGTCGTCGACTGTGACAGCTCGACGGCCCAAGAAGGGTCTTCTCCCAATCTCAATCTGTGCAAACGCTTTTTCTAAGGCCCTGAAAACTTCGCGACGCGCCTGAAAATTTCGCGGCGGCGGTTGCTGGAGTGCGAAATCGGACACCGGCATTTGCGGACTTTTTAATATTTGCCGGATTTTCATTTGGACTTGGCTGATTGGCCATGGAATTTGGCCAAACGGCAATGTGGCCGGGTCGTCCAGTATTTCGTTTGAGAAAATCTAAATAGGATTTCAGAAAAAGGGTTGATCCAACAGACAGCTTCACATTTTTCATACTACTTTCAAGCTAACCTCGCACTTTGCATAACGTCGCCTAAAGCCTTTAACGAGCAAGAACCGAGCCGACTGTGCTATGCGCATCTCCCTCTGACGCCGATGCGCCCAGCGCGCTCAGATCCTTCAGACTCGTTGATGGAATTAGATAAGTTCACTTTTTTCAAGCTACTTTTCAAGCTATTTTTTCAACATATCTTTTGTCCTTTTAACGTGAGCGCGAAGCGGCGCCAAGGACGCCTTGCTTCGGCCACTCAGGTGAGATGGCGCGCGGGACGGGGCACGTCGGCCCCGCGACCGGCCCGCGCCTCGACGGAGGCGCGGGCACCATCGTCGCCGCCCCGCCCCGCCCGCCAGAGGCTGCGCCCCACCCCTCATGCTCGTGCGCATCATGGAGGCGGAAAACCGAATGAAGCTCTGGGAGTTTCTTCGCGAGGAGTACCGCAAGCAGGAGAGCCAGGTCGCGGAGGCGCTCATCGTCAAGGTCAAGCTGCTCTTCGATGAGTTCGCTAAGCTCATGCATCTCGCGCGCGCGTGCCGCGTGCTGGCCAACGACGAAACCGAGACGCTCTGCGGTCTGTGCGAGTCAGTGCCGCGGCGGCTGCGCCAGCTCGTCGCGAACCGCCAGATCAAGGCGCACATGGTCGAGTTCGAGGTGCTGCGGTTTGTGCGGCGCTGGCGCTCCCTCGGGCTGTTGCACCCTCGGGCTGTTTTACGTAGACGCGTTCGAGAGCATCCAAACTCTGATAAACCGCATGAATATGCGATTCGCATGCGTCCGCGACCGCCAGTTTCTGGGGGTACGGTTGAAAACCCCGGACCGTCATGACATTTCAAACGGAGTCGCGAGCGGTTTCCTGCCGCGCCTCAAAAGATACCCTAGGCGATCGCGTGAAGCACCTCAAGCTCATGGTCACGGCTCTCTCGGTCTTGAAGGAAAGCGCCAGCGCCATATATCGTGGCAGATGTGAAACGCGGCCCGTATGCGAAAAAGCCCAAGAAGGACGACGCGACGGCCGCGGTGGCCGCGGCCGCCCCCTGAAGTTTACGTAATACGCGCCTTATCTCATCATCGGACTGTCGAGGGGGGGAAGAGACACGAGGTGCCCCACCGTGCCGGCGCTTCAAAGCATTTTTCACAACCCAAGAATGCTTGGAGAGACCCTTTCTTCCTATCTCGAGCGGGTCTTCTCATTGGAATTATTCTATAGATTTCAAGAAGCGTCTTGAAGATCGTAACTCGCCAGCGCGCGAGTATAAGGTGTACCCATTATATACAGTTATACTCGTTATGCTCATTGCTACCATCCTGGCCTAGGTGGGTACACCTTATACTCCCGCGCTGACGAGTTACGGTGCAAAGGGTCAAAGTTGGAGGTGCATCTCACCAAGGAGACGCGCCCTTTGCAAATCTTTCTTATCAAACTATGCAATGCCTACGGACCCGCTCGATCCCGCGAGGGGCCTCCGATTCGCCTCGGGTGGGGCGCGTGCTGTAGCCGAGAAGTTGAGGACTTTTCCCGACTTTTTCTGAAAATCTCCGAAAACGAAATCCGCTCTTGAGACAGCTGTGCCGGAGGCACACTGAGGGAGGCCGACTTCGAGCGAAGGCTACAGACAATTCCCATTGCAATGCCCGCGTGAATAATTAAAATTATGTCACTAATCCTTAAA